ATTTTTTTTTGTTAGATCTTAAGATAAAAATTCAACTTCTTGAATAAATAAAACTTACTATCAAATTAGTATATATTCTTTGTATAAAAAAAGATTATGTATCTTTTAAAGTTATGGCTTATGAAATTTTTAATATATGATTTTCTAATGTATCTTTTGAGGTTTAAGTTTTCTAAGATTTTATTCCTTCTGAGGTGTATAACCTCTTAAAAACTTTTGAATGTAAATGTAAAGTGTATAGACTTCTAAGATTTTTTTTTTAATATGCATGCAACTTTTGAGACTTATAACCTTATGAGATTTTTAGATATGCATATTCCTCTTGAACTTTGTTGTCTTCTAAGATTTTTTAGCATACATGTTCTTTTTGAGGCTTATAATTTTCTGTGTTTTTTTATTTAATGTAACTATACATTTTGAGGCATGTAACCTTTTGAAATTTTTTTAATATATTTGTACCTTTTGAAACTTATAATCTTTTTAGAATTTTTTAATATACATGTACCTTCTGAAGCTTATATCCTTCTGAGATTTTTGAATGTACATATACCTTCTAAAGCTTATGACATTCTAAGATTTCTTTGAATTTACCTATACTTTTTGAGATTTTTTAAATGTACATATATCTTATGAGGCTCCTAAACTTATGAGATTTTTTTGAATAGAGACCATGTCAACCACATACCCTCACATATTATTTCTTGTGGGGATTGTGTCTACTACTAGCTTCCAATCCAAATTATCTATTGAGCTTGTCTTCTAGGGGTATAAGTAGAGAATGTGTCTGCCACTTGACCTCGAGGGGTCTTTCTAATGAGGATTAGATCCATTATTAGCTTCTCATCAAGGCTACCTCATTACCTGTCTTCTTAGGGTATAATTGGAGTTTGTGTTTGCTACTTGCTTTTAAGGGATCTTTCTAGTGAGGATTATGCCCACTACCTTACATTGATATTACCTCATGGGTAGCTTTTTGGGGTGTAAGTGGAGATTGTGTCTATCACTTGTTATTAAAGGTTTTTCTAGTGAGGATTGTACCCACTACTATCTTCTCATCAAGACTATCTTATGGGCGTGTTTTCGAGGGTTATTAAGTGAGACTGTGTCTACAACTTGCTTTTAAAGGGTCTTATAATAAGCAACATTATTTACTAAAAAAATTATTTATAATAAAATATTACCTAAATAATATATTTTTGTCTCTTATAGTGAACCCTTTTTAAACTCAACGTTGTAGTTCATCGTGAATTACATAACGAAGTTGAACCAAGTTTTTTGATAGTGCTAGAAGTTTGAAATTTGATCCAATTGGAATTATTAATGTCAAAGAGATCATTTTCTTGGCCCAATTAAATGGAAATCTAGTATAAGGAGTGGGCATTATATAAGCATTCACTAGCTGAGCATCACTGATTGGTGGTTGATCACGGGGAGATGAACATCACCCATTTGGGTTAATACCAATTTTCGAGCTTCATATATAAGATGAAGAATCTTATTTTGATATTCCTCCATTCTTACATGTTCTCTTCTATGGGAAAAGAAGAGGCATCTTTGCCCACAAGGTGATGCCCATCAAGTGGGAAATATGTAGAGTATTATCGGCCCTGCAACATGATTGTCCCTTAAAATGGTTGGTGTTTGAGCGAGAAGCTCAATTATTATGAGTAGTATACTTCTAAGCCATTAAAAGAGCTCTCACTCTTTTATAAAATTGGGATATTTTTCTCACATACAACGTCAAACAGTTGTGTGCTAGAAAATTATTTACGATGAGAAAAATCTTATTTCTTAGCTTAGTATAAATTTTCAACACCAACATAGACAGAGATGTTAAACAATCAAATTTATTACATGGAAAATCCTGAAAAGTGAGAAAAATTAGGGTCCGACCCTGTCAAAGTAATCCACTAAAAAATTAAAAGTATAGAGGACCACTCTTCTCTTGTATTAAGGAGAAGAAATTACAAGATATTGTTGACAGCTATAACAACAACAATTGGCTACAGAAGTTGTAGTTGGTTGTTATAATGGTTATAGTTGGTCCTAGCAAATAACTAGTGGTGGTAAATGACAATCTTTGGTGGTTGATGATAAACTTTGGCGGTCATCTTCAAACATTGGTGTTGGACGACAAACATTGGTGACCAATGACAACCATTGATACTTTATTATTTAAACTTTAGTAGTCATCTTAGTCTATTCTTTTCCTCCATTTAAGAAAAGACTGAGGGCATATTTGTAGTTTCTTACAATGTGATTTCAATAAATTTGACCAATATCCTGAAACACTCTACTAGAGAGTCCTATCTTAATCACAAGTAAGTTTTTCAACATTTAAGTGCCTTCATGACGTCATAATTGAATCATCATAGACCCATAGGATTCATCTCGTCGAGTTGCTCGATTTGATCGTAAGTATGCTAAATTTTGAAAACGTTTAGTCTTCCAAATGATGCGTTAAAGCCTTTGACTACACTTTGAGTGCTCAATCTTGATTGATTTGAACTCAGATTAGATAAAGTTTAGTGTCACTAGGTTTGCCTTATTAAGACGCTTAGTTTGACTATAAATTTGCTAAAATCAAAACTCAAATGATCATAAATTTGAATTTAAAATGTTTCCTGCTCATATTGCATTGAGATTCATATTTGATAATAAAAATTTCTTGATATTATATCAGGTATATTTATAATAAATTATAAATCAAATTTCTCAACATTATTCCAATAACAATTCAGGGTGATTGTTGAACTTATTTTATTAATAAAATATATTTTAATATTCAGTTGAAAATAATTTAAAAACATTGGCTATGATTTAATTTTTATTCTTTGTATTTGGGAAAAAAAATTTATTTTGAGAATTGTGGAGTTTAAACATCGTTTCTTATTTCAAAAGATAAAAAAACACTTTTAATAGATGATGTTGTTTTCTATATTTATTCATTTGGTTTATGTTACAAACTTATATTGTTAGTGGTATCACACAATCTAAAGAATGCTCCTCGGAGGAGAAGTGTTGAAACACAAGAAAATGTAAAGACAAAGAGAGAAAACTCTGTTAAGTATGGAGAAAACTCTATGAGATCCTGCTATTTGCCTCGCCTTTCTTATTTATAGATTTGGGTGGCCCAAATGATAATTACATAAAAGTTTCTGCAAAAATGAAAAGATAAATTGAAATAATAGCAATGATATGACAAGGTGTGTAACGTGTCTCTGTAGTGTAGTATTGTCTAGGTGCATGATGAATTGATGATGTCGCCCTAATTCGCCAAGTAAACCCGCCATGCAAATTTGTCTAACTGAATGGGTGAATTGTTTTAGCTGAACATGTTCTCTTAATTTGTAATTGTTAGCATCATCTAGCTGAATTGGTCAAGACCGACTGATCAAATTTGCCAAATTATACCATCAAATTACTCAAATTTGATTACCGCCTTGTGCTTATTTTGAAATATGTTGTAAACATCATGATCATGCCATGTTACCCATAATTTGAACTTGGTCAAGGGGTTTTTGGCTATACATTTAATTATTCAATTTTATTATCTATTTGACATTAAAATTGCAAAAATAATAGAAGACCAATGGACAAAAATTATTCATGCAGCTGACCCCATTTAGTGGGACAAAGGCTTGTTGTTGTGTATGCAGACAACCTTTGAAGAAAAAACAAGTATAGGAATATTATTTTGGATCCCATGGTGGCTTATCTCGTGAAGGACAACCCTATATTTCATTAACTTTTTCGCCCCTCAAGTCTCTTGATTCTCCCGTTGCACCATTTTGTGGAATGAGCAAAGCCCCTCTACTCACAATTCCATGGTTATTATCTCATGCATTGACCACATCAAATTGCCCGGCTTGTACCATGGCTTCTAGCTAGTAGTAGTGGTGCCTGAGATGCATTTCCACATAATAAAGCACACACATTGCGTTCCACTAGTTCTTGATTTCACCAACTTTACAAAAATGTTGAAATTCAAACTTTAAATAAATTTTAAAGATTTAATTTAACTTCCTAGCTTGTGCGTTTATCGTAAATGAGACAATTTTATTCTAGTATAATAAAATGATATTAAACAATTAAGTTGCAATAATAAACTACTTCAAGGAGGATAGGTATAATTTTATAAAAAAATTAATGGATATATTTTAATAAACTTTATATCCTCAAAATGGACCATCATGCTAACAAGTCGAGGCTAATTCGAAGTATAGGAATATTATTTTGGATCCCATGGTGGCTCATCTCGTGAAGGACACCCTATCTTTCTTTAACATTTTTGCCCCTCAAGTCTCTTGATTCTCCCGTAGCACCATTTTGTGGAGTGAGCAAAGCCCCTCTACTCACAATTCCACCGTTATTATCTCATGCATTGACCACATCAAATTGGCCGGCTTGAACCATGGCTACTAGCTAGTAGTAGTAGTGCCTGAGATGCATTTCCACATAATAAAGCAAACATATTGTGTTCCACTAGTTCTTGATTTTACTAACTTTACAAAAATGTTGAAATTCAAACTTTAAATAAATTTTAGGGTCCGTTTGGAATTTGGGGCGGTGGCATTTTGAAAACGCACCTGGCCTGTTTGGGTAAACCGCATTTTGGCAGCTTATGCATTTTCAAAACGCCCAAAACAGCATTTTCACACCGCACATATCTAGATGCGGTGGGAACTTTCTGACAGCGGTCTGACTTTTCAAAAAAATAAAAATTTTTAATAGTAATCGCACCTAACTTATCAGCAGATTATTCAATAAACTGCAGCTGCCCTAATCAAACCCTTAAAGATTTAATTTAACTCCTTAGCTTGTGCGCTTATCGTAAATGAGACAATTTTATTTAATTTCCCAACAAGTAGTATAATAAAATGACATTAAACAATTAAGTTGAAATAATAAAGAACTACTTCAAGGAGAATAGGTATAATTTTATAAAAAAAATTAATGGATATATCTTAATAAACTTTATATCCTCAAAATGAACCCTCATAGGCTAACAAGTCGAGGCTAATTCATCCTTGACTTGTTATCTCAACTTTTGTACCATTTATGAGTTGAGCTCAAAAGAACTCATAAATCACCATGACTCAATTCCACCAATAGGCTCCCAAAATGGTGCTTATAATAAAGTTCTCTCTTCGAACACAGACTACAGCTTGGCAGGAGCCGAGAACGATATTGCCTCAACCAGTGTTACTAAACTTTAGATCAAAGGCTAGCAACAATAATATAGGAAAGCCTGGCATTGATGGCTAGGATGGGAAAGTTTACTAACATGGCCGCATGATTTTTTCCAATATTTGAGAACTTTATTCTTTTGGGGAAACGTAGGCTCAAAGTGATATTCAGAACTTCTGCTCAACATTCCCATAAAAAGAGAACCTTGCTGGAAAGATGATTTTCCACCAAGCTCGCTGACAGCAAAAAATTCTAACATGCGCGCATATTTTAAGCGAAAAAAATGAACAAAAGATCCTTTAAAGAGAACGGTGATCCACATTGTGCATGCCTTGTACTTTGTAGTAATCTTTAACCAAAAAATTGGAAAGCTAAAAATGTAAAAGGTTGAAAAATGGACAAACCATATATTACCACTTGCGATTTCTGGACTACAATAACAGATCCAAAGTCTCAAAAAACTCCACAACTAATTCACTCAAGTTTTCTGCACCCTTCTGCACGCACAACTTGGGCAAATTGTGACTTGAGCAGACTCACATACCAAAATTACTACACAGCCCATAATGCTAAAAGGGCATCTCATCTGGAGGCATAGCTCTGAGAAACAAGCCTATGTCCGCCACCATTATGCCAAACCCCTAGGACAGGTACCCTATTAGAGTCATCTGTGCTGTGTTCCCCACTGATTCTTCTAGGGTTCCCATCGGCATTACCCTCGTCTAAAGGTAATATATGAAACTTTAACTTGCGATTTCTCCTGCCAAATTCACCACCTGAGTTATCGGTAATAGTTTTTCTTTGGCTGCTTGAATCATCTACAATCATAGAGCCTGTGGTGTTATGCTCTCTGGTTGAGGAAAGTTGGACTTTTGCAGTGTAATAGCCATCTTTCGACAAGACCTCCATTTCCTTGAAAGAATGATCACTTGTCTGCAGCTCTCTACCATTGTCTAAATTGTTATCAGCCAATGAATCTTTAGGAGCGGTTTCAACAGCTTTGCCCTTTCCCTTTCGCCTCTTCTCAACCTTATGTGTTCCAGCCGTCCTACCGCTGTTGTTTTCTAGCACACCAATATGGCATACATTTGCATTGTAAGCGTCAATCAGTTCCTGTTGCTTCTTAGAATCAGGACAGAGCCGAGCCAAATCAAGAACAAGATGTGAAAGGCCAAACTGCTCAACATAAGAGAGATATTCCCAAGAATCTATACGGTCCTGGCGATATTCAGTAGAAATGATTTTAAATGCAGCATATTTTTCCTCATCCATTCCCAGGCCTGAACGAATACTTTCTACCAAAGACTTGTTTGCTATCTGAACATTCTGCACATGTTGCAAGGATTCATTGCTAGAGGACAATTCCCCGTTTAAATTGACAGAAGAAATGATACTGGATGGAGGATTATTTGGAGGACAACTGATGCTTGGGTTAGGAGCTGATGCAGAAAGCCTTGCTCTATTCAAGCTATGTGAATTCCATACAGAGCTGATAGGAATAGAGGTTGCAAATCCATTTCCTCTTAATATTGGAACCTGGGGACTAGCAGAACTTACTGGTGGAAATACCTGGTTTGCTGTAATCCCAGTTATAAAATTTGAATTTGATGTTACAGGACTTTGACTTCGTGTCTGTGGCCTCATCTCCAAAGAACTTCCTGAAATGGGGTAACCATGTTCATGATCTTGTGAAGCTTTCGGTCGAGCAGAGTGCACAACTTTGCTATGTAGCTTAAGACGAGCTGCAATAGTATTTGCAGCTAATCCCTCTGCCACAGGTGCTATCATTGGTTTAATGCTGTCTTTCGCTCCTGGAAGAGGAGGAAATGATGCTTCAACAAGTCGGGCAGAGATCCCTTGATTAAGAGCCTGAGCATACCTGGAAGTTGGCTCAGGCGGCACAAAATTAGAGAGGGGAGGAAAAGAAATTTCTTCTACAGCAGGAGCACTTCCAAAACTCTGGGTGTTGTTTGCATCCGACATTGAAGATAGTTCTTCAGGGTGTGAACTGACAGCTAGCGATTCCATGGTACTTGTGATCATATCAGATTGATTAGTTTCTCCAATGTCACTATGTATTCTACCACTAACAGAAGATGACTCGTGCAAACTCCCATCCGCAGCTGCCATCTCTGAACTACCTTGGATGGTTAACTGACTTGGGTCCAGATGAAAACCACGCCGCCTTCCTCGTTGTTGATGTTCTTCAGCACTACCTCGGTATCTGAAGCTAACAGGTATCTGCATAAAGATCATGGTTATCCACAGACAGATTACAAGCAATCTAAAATATAGAACTAGCAAATAAGAGCCCATGAAATCCATTTCCAAGAGAACAATCAGAGCAACAAACAAATATGCTAAAAAGACAAAAACACTTAATTACCTGAAGAGCAGCATTCCTTTTGGAGCGAGACAAGCCACTATGTTCGATAGTATTATGCCTCTGCCAATAAATATAAAAATAAATAATGAATACCACGTCTTATAAATCATATGTGCATCCTAAAGTAGAAATTTATATTCAAAATAGAACATTCAGTATGTAAGCACCTTCATCTCAACTTCAGATTGAAAGACAACAAATTTCTTTGCGAGACATGCTTCATGTTCACATAAAAAATGCACTTGTCGGAAATGCTCCTGTCGTTAGAGAAATGTAAAGAGTGATAAAAAAAAAGAAAACAAAAGTCGAAAAAAAATGTAGAAGCACAACAATGCATTACAAATAACTGCAGCTTCTACACGTGCAGTGCAAGCAAGGAAGCACAAAGAATAAGAGTTCTTCATTTTAAATGCTGCTTGAATTTCTTCATGAACAAGAATGGTGTACTGCTATCATAATATAATTAGAATAAACTGGAAGAGAACTAGCATACCTCCAAGTCATCGTAGTTCCTATAGTAGTCATATTGACCAGGGTGTTGCCTGCATATAAAGGCAATGTTAGAACTATCTCTAGCATATTTCATAAAAATTTCAGTAAAAAGCATTTCCTTTCACCATATTCAGGCATACCTTTGGCAAATGTGGCATGTATAATGTTCTGTAGACATGTGCATGTAAAGTTCAGTATCCCCATAAAAAGGGTTTCTACAGAATTCACATATGGGATGCCCTGTGAAGCCGCCACGTTCACTCTCATTTCCATCAGCTTTCGAATCACCGCTACTATTGTGTTGCCTCAGCTGTGATCTATTGTAAAGCTTTTGCTCAGAAATAAATACCTGAACAGTAAAAAGAAAGATAAATGTATAAGGTACTGCATAAATACATATATATATATATACATATATAT